ATATATATATATATATATAAAAATTTAAGATATCAATTATTATTAATTTCATTTATTATTATTTTTTATTATTATTTTACATTGTTTAAATCAATCTTTATTTTAGTGAAAATAATTTTAGATTATCCCAACTTTATGGTGAAATCCAAAAAATTATTTTTACTTGCAATAATTAAAGAAAACTAAATTCTTTTAGCTTTCTCTAAAAATTACATTTAAAATATTTATTTAAACAATTTATTTTTTTATTTATCAATTTTTATTTTTTTTTTACAAAATTATTTTTTTAAATTATCCCAACACTTTGGTGAAATTTAAATAATATTTTTACTTGTAATAAAATTTATTTCTTTTAAGTAGTTATTATTGTTAAATTTTTTTATTTATATTTTTTTAGGTTTTTATTTTATTTTCAGTTTCATTTTTATTCTATTTATTTATTTGTTTTTAAAAAATTATTACCAGTAATAATAATAATAATAATAATAATAATAATAATAATAATAATAATAATAATAACATCATAAAAAATAACATAAAAATCAACATAAAATATCAAAATCAAAATCAAAACAAAAAAGAAAAAGAAAAAACCTGTGAAACGGTCAGGTTGACGCACAAATCCTACGCGGATCAGGTTCGGTCCAGACGGTCAAAACGACATTGTTTTAGGACGCTTATAAAAGGTCTATTTCAGCTTTTTTCTTTATTTTTTTCTTTCTCTTCTCTCTTTCTACCATAGAGCCTTTCTCTCTAAAATCCCAGCACCTCTTATACCCTAGAGCCTTTCTCTTTAAAATCCCAACACCTCTTATCGACTACCGTAAAACTCAGTTTTTGGCTAGTCACTACTATACACCAAGGGTCGAAAATTTCAACCGACGTCGAAAAATTCAAAAATTTTTAAATTTCGACGATGAACCTAGATTCTAATCGTCGAAAAATTTAAATGATCATTAAAAAATTTAAATTTTTCTAGATTCCAGCAACCCAAAAAAAATTCAAAAAATTTTAAAAATTCCCCAGTGATCATTTTTGCTTTCTAAACACCTTTCTAAGCCCAGATTTTTTTTAAAAAAAAATCTATAACTTCCTAGATCGAGAATTTCATTATGGGAAAACCTTTTTTTGTTTGCTATTGGTTTTTTTTATTGTGTGTGTTCCCTCTTATTGTTCTTCTTGTTCTCTCTTGTAGAGATTAACTCTATTTATAGAACTTTTAAGATTCAAGATCCCAAATCTTTTTAGATCTTCTTAAAAATTTTAGATGTTTATCCGATGATTTTTGGTCACTGGATTTCATACTGTCATGTTAGACAGTGTCAAAAAAATAAATCTTTTGACAATTTGATTTAAGCTGTCACAGTTGAAATCAAAATTTTTTTTTTTTCTTTTTGACTTTTTACTCTTTTCTTTAAAGATTAATAATAATAATATATGAAAAGAAACAAAATTGGTGCCTACACAAATAATACCCTTAAAAATGAAATATTTCACGAATCTGGAAAAAATTCAAACTTTAAGCACTTCAGTTAAAATCAAATAACACCTAGATTCTAAAACTCTCGAAACATTAATAAATACGAATACAAAAAAAAAAAAAAAACCCAAAGTTATTACTTGATATAGAGAGTTCCACACTATAGCAAAATCTGTCTCTTTTCGACTTCTCTTCCTTCGGTCTTCTCTTTCTACAAATAAAAAAAAACAAAAGTTGAATGAGAAAAAGGAATAAAAAAGAGAAAAAGGGAGTAAGCATGAAAAAGTATTGAAAATCTATTTTGATTTGGAAAAGGAGAAAAACGTAGAAATAAATGAAGAAAAATAAAAAGAAAAATAAAGAGAAATAAAGGAAAGATGAAGAGAAAGAGATATGATGGGTTAGGTATCAAAGATGATGGGGTTAGGTTTGGATACGAAAAAATTTTAAAAAAAATGAAAATAATGAACTGATCAGTAGAAAATTTTGAGTTTTGAAAGAATAGATGGGACTAGGATTTGGTGAGACGTCGCTTTCAATAAAAAAAAATTTAAGAAAAAGTGGAAGGAAAATTAAATTATAACAAAAAGTTAAAATACCACGTGGACAGACTCTGCAACCTTCAAAATCTACAAGTTTTATTGTATGGACAAGAAAGAGAAGCCGAGAAAGAAAATAAAAAAAATAAAAATAAAACAGGTAAGTGATGTGGACAGCCCTAAACTCTCTGATCTCTGCAACTTTTATTTTTTGGACAAGTTTTATTGCATGAAACAAAAAAAAAAAAACAAAGGAAAGCGGAGAAAGAAAAGAAAAGAAAATAGCTAGGTGACGTGAACACCCCAAAACTCTCTGATCTGTACAACTTTTATTTTATGGATATGACATGGCCACTGCATTTTTCTTGGGCAGAACAGTCGGTGAATAATTTCTCCAATGTAAAGCCTTCACTGCAAATATAAATATCCCTGTAGCAAAAAACGTATGCAAATCCTGATTAAAGAATCCACCCATGAAATCGTAATAACATGTGTAAATCGTCAAACATCAATTTTACTAGGTCATATAGCCCCTGTAGCAAAAAACAGTACCTCATCAACTAGCGTTCAAGTTCCTGATCATATTTGGCACACGCTCATTAAGATTGAACTTTACAATGAGATTTCCCAAAGTGACATGCAACGAGGGTCACAGTTTGCTTAACCAATCAATAAGGTTTTTATATAGAATCAAATCTCTTCTTCACAACGGAAGGAAAAACGATACTCCCATTAGACAGTCCAACCACTGGATTATTGAAGATATTATATATATATATATATATATATAGAGAGAGAGAGAGAGAGAGAGTGCAATGAGGGGAAGGAGAAGGAAATCCAGCAATGCAAATAATCCTGAAAGAAAAGAGAGAGGAGCAGAGAGAATTGGAAGCAGCTAATTGCTTCTGCTCTTAATTATTAAAGAAGAGATTTGAAGAAAAACTGATTTCATGGCTATTCATGAGGAATGGGTTACAAACAGTTTTCCATTAATCTTTTTATATATATATATATATATAAGTTACAAACCATTAATTACCATAGTCATGATGTTTGAGATCATCTAATGATAAAATTTAAATTATTGCATACAAGTTGGTTGCCCGTGGTTTAATTTACCATTCATGTTCCATTAGTCATGATCTTTTTGGCCAGTCATTGTCATTTACATGCTATGATAAGAAAGGTATGTGTGATGTGCTGATGCAAGAATCTGGTTAAGTTTATCTTAAACAACCAAAGATTAGTTAGAAATTGGTGGTCTAATGCCACTTTAATAGATGACATCATATCCCATGTATAATGGAAATAATGGAAAGGCTTTTTTTTATGAAGTTGCAAGAGAAATTGTAGTCGTATTCAAGTATTATATATAAAATTTTAATTAATTAAATAAATTAATTATCAAATGATTAATTTATAATTAGATAAATTTAATATAAAATTAAATCAAATCAATATAATTTTGTTATATCAATAAATATATATTTTTTGAATTTGAACTTAGATATGAAAAGATTATTGCTTGGTCACCTTGTTAGCAGGATATATCGGTAATTCCTCATTTTAAAGCAGCGTCAAATGAGGCCAAGCTATACCACGACGACTTGGCTAGCTACTTGGTCTGAGACTGTTCTTTATCCATACTTAGGCAGTTTGAGTTCCCTAGCACTATAATCTGACCTTTTCTACTTAAGGATTCACCAATTTTTGTTAATTCAATAACGAAGACGGAATAAATAAAAATGATAAAATAACTCATATTTAATATATTTTGATATGTGTCGATTTTATAGAATCATTTTTTTTTTGTTTGAAATTGGAGGTGAGTCAAAAAAAATTATTTTTAAGTCATGTTTAAGTCAAAGCCGGATTTTAAGTTATACCTCCTTGTTTCAACCGATTATATAAAAAATATAAATTTTATTATTTATTTAATTTTATATTTATATATATTATTAATAAAATTATTATTTAATATTTTAAATTAATATATTAATTTAACAAAAATATTATATTTATATATAATTAAGTTATAATTTATATAAAAAAGTAATATTTTATAAATATTATATTAAATTAATTTTAGATTATGTCCATTGCTTTTTATGAATATAGAATCGAATAAAATAATAATAATTTTGATATTGGAGTCGGATTGAAAAAACCCGACGCGACCCAGCCTCACCCTTTATCATCTTTAAGGAAAAAAACAAATGCAGCTAGAGAGAGAAGATGCAGAAAAATTTTCCTCATTGGTTCATACATAAGATGCTGACTTCTATCCTAGCACTTCATAGCATTGTTGAAAGCTTGCGTGGATAGTTGCCAACAGCGTCAAATTAGACCGAGCAATCCCATATTGAGAACTCGGCCACTTGGGCTGCTCCTGGTCCGCTCTGTATGACTTGATTGGCATTATAGTTTATGCTTTTCTTCAGGGGTTTGACCAGTTTTTGTTAATGCAATAAGGAGTGTTTGCCAGAATAAGAGAATCCCAAAGTGAGAATTTGCAGAGCAGGTTTTTTTTTTTTTTTTGACAAAAATAATAGTATTAAGAGATTACTCTCACAGTCACAGATAAAAATGTGCTCCCTCGTTCTAATTCGGAGTCAAATTGTTTTGTAGCACACTGATGAATGGCCCACGGCCTTTAATTTAAACGAAATCATGACTAGGAGTATCTGTTCTTGGTGTATTAATTAGTGGATTAATTGATTTAAACTGATAATTCAACATTGCAACCCAGATAAAAAGATCAATTGTTCCAAATAGAAACATACCTCCCTGCATCATCAGTTCATCATCATCATACGAGCCTTCACCAGTCAGAGTCCAGATAAGGATTTAAGCAGATATGGAAGGTGATGTAATTCATTAAATCGATCAGAAATTCTATCAGTATTAATAATTTTTTTTGTCACCGAATCCTGAACTGGTAGTCACTAAATTGGTTGGTAATCCTGGATTAATCAAATTTCCCCTAAGCATTACTTAAAAAAAAAAAAGCTTTACAATTGGAAAAATAGGCAAAATACATTTATTGTATTAAATGTTCAAAATCTATTCATTTTCTCTGTACTTTTTACAGCATGTACTTCACAAACAAAGTAAAATACCAATCCTTGTATTATCAAACTATGCATATGATTGAAAACCGTTTTCTGGGTTTGTCTCCAATGCTCCAATTCCTTCTGTTCTGTCCTTCAGGGGTCCCAAATTTAACAGATAACACAAGAACTCGGATTCTCTTCAGCACTCACTACCCGGTAATATGGTGTCATGTAAGGATTATAGGCCTGGTAGGCCTTAACAAGCTCAGCAATCTGATCACTTTCTTTCTTTTTATCATCCTTCTTACCGCCTCCATCTTTCTTCTCTTCTTTCGCTGGTCCTACTGTTAAAATCTCTGTGTGCCCTTGTTTTCTTAACTTGCTCACAACGTCAACCGGGTCAACATCGCCAATCACTGTTAATTTCTTATCCTTCATGTCCATGGAAATAGAATCAATACCTACCAAAACATTACAGAAACAAAGGCAACAAGTATTTGTAAGCAAAAATTATTTGATGAAACAGACAAAAGATGCACTTAATAAATAGGTGTACCTGATAGACCTGAAACTGCTTTCATGGCTTTTTGTTTCCCTTTGTCATCATGTAAATCCAATTTCAAGACGACTTTCTGTAAGGAAGATGAAAAAAAGAAGCGATTGTCAGTCATGTCAGATTAAGCGGAACATGCCTGTCCTGTCCTGTCCATGACTGAAAGAAAACTTTGTGCTTTTTACCGTTATTGCTCTAAGCAACCATAGAAGAATCTTAATAATTCAAAAAAGCGGGAAAATGGGAAAAAGCACTTCAGTTGATGAGAAAAAGCCAATCCCGTGAAAGAAATGAGCTTTGAATTATCAAAGAAATTTAAAAAGAATAATAAAAAAAAAAACAAAAAGAATCTGAGAGAACACATCAAAGGTTGTTTACAAATCTATTTCAATTTTAAAACCATCAAATAACAATAAACAAAAGATGATTGATATAACAAGCCAGTTGATGAAAGATCATAAAACTAATTAAGTAAAGAAAATTTCATGAGAATAGATTTAAGGAAAGGAAACTTTACCTTCATTGCTGTTGAAAGTTGAAACTTAAGCTGCGACTAAGACTTGGAACAATGATTATAAAACTAAACCACAACACACGCAAATTGTAAGAGAGGAGACAATGTGTAGATATACAAAACAAATAGGAACACAGCTGGGAATAAATAGACCGATGACGATTTCCTTGACTAAGAAGCCAAAGAAGATGAACTACAATTATTTTTTAACCCAAGGGCGAATTTTTGTATTCCCAAAATTTCCTTTATTATCAAATTATCAATTTATTTTCATTGAAAAAAGAAAAGTCATATTTTTTTTCAAACTCCTCGTTTTCTTAAAATATTTGTGTTTGTTTGACACATGTCCAACGGATATTAATAAAAAATATTTTAAAAAATTGAGTGTACTCATTTTGGGTATATCCGTATCAATTTGGAATAACATATATTAAAAAATAATTATTTTTTATTATATGAATACCAAAATCTAGAGTGAAATTTGTGCAACAGAAAGAACAAAAATAGGAACATTGATTTCCCATAGACCACAGATTTAACAAAAAGGCCAAAATAAGTAATAAAAAAAAATATATATTTGGAAAAAGCACAGGACCCTAACCGTCCAACAAGGAACCATTCATCGTTGACGTTGGAACCTTTGAGCAAGTCAATAGACCTTTCCCGTTTTCATAAATTTGGCTTTTTTTTTTTTTTTCTGTTATGAGATTCAAAAACCCGTTGTTTCATCATTAGTTTTCTTTTTTTTTTATATAACTATTTATGCATCGTGATCAATCCCATTATATATAAGCAAATGTTTCATTCTAATTCTGAATTTGATAAAAAAAGAGTAAAAAAATTATATTTTATATTTTAATAGTATTTACCAAGAATTTTGGCTTTAAAATTGAATCCCCCATTCTGCAAACACATTTTATGAAAAATAATGCTAACGAATGGCATAAATTAAGTACCAAATAAAGTCTTAAAAAAGTATATATATATATATATATATGTATATGCGATTAGGAGTATGGGTAGTGAAATAGTCCAAAGAGATACGCATTGTCTTGTGTGATGTTATCTATGACTGTATTCATTTGCTGAACAGAAAAAGTTAGTGTTACTTTAAAAAATAATTTAATAAGAGATTAATTATTTTTTTAATTCATAGTTGAAGTGGATGTTTAGGGAGATGAAGTTGATTTGTGGATTAATCTCCGAACATTGCTCTTCTTTAATTTATTTTTTTTAAATTGTAACTTAAAAATAAGAGTTGTAAATACTAAATTTTAAATTTTAAATTCGCTGAATGTAATTTTTTTAAAAATGGCAAAATATATCAACTAAACTAAACTAATGTTTTGTTTTTCTTTCACTTTATTGATAAAACACATCATTTGACACGAAATTTTCAAAAGTGGGGAATCTCTTCATAAATGTACAAAGCATTTCCTCCAATTAAAATGTTTGCTTAAATTGGGCAAATGTTCATTGATTGTGATAATTCTGTTTCTGTCCTATTGGCGTTATATTACTTTCTAAATCATTTCATTTTTTAGTGTATTTTACAAGATGTGATTTAAGTTATGACTCATATCTTACGTAACAGATCTCTTATGATTGAGCAAGTGGTCTTTACATTTGGCTGCTCAATGCTTAACCAATAGAAGGTTATATGGTTACATCATACAAAGTTTTTGAGCTAATGAGTCAAACTAATAATCTATTGACAAAAGGTCAAAAAAAAAAAAAAAAACTCCTAAACTATAATTTAATAATTATTTAAATTTTTATCTTTTTTTTAATAAATTAAACTCTCAAATATCTATTTTTACTAATTAAATTCTTGTTAAAAAAAATTGTAAACACTCATTTTTATCCAAATTTACATTTGATTTCTTGATTTTGATTTTATATCATTGAGCCTTGGGGTTTTTTTTTTTTTTTTGTTCTTTGGCCCCAAATGAATTTATCCATGTTTATGTTTGGGCTCTTAATCCAAAATACAGTTTTTATTTTGTTCGGCCTTTAAGCCCACTAATCGTTACATAGACATGAGCTTTGGCCCGATAAACATTTTGTTATTGTTATTTTATTTCTTTTATTTCATCTATATTTGCTTGTTTGATTCTTTGTTAAACAAATAATAATAATAATAATAATAATAAAAGAAAGAAAATCAAGTCAAAATTTTTTAGGAATCCTGTATGTGAATCGGGCAAAAAGAGTTTGAAAATTTCTTCTGCATAAAATTGGAAACTAAAATCAAATTGAAATCATTAACCACAATCGAATTAAAATGAAATCTCAAAACTCAAGCCTTGATTGAATCTATTACAACCCCTAAAACTTATGTTAAAAAAGGGCTATAAATCATACCCAAGCACACAAAGGAAAATGGAGGATCTAAAAAAATTCATTCACAAATACGATTTTTCACAACGTTTTGTTTTTTTCTTTTTCTAGAATTCCTTGCAGACTTTGGAAGCAGGAGGATTTATTTTGGTTTAGTCAAGGTTGTTAGAGGTAAATGAGGGTCTATTTGGTGTCTTTGGGTTACTTTATGGAATTTTCAAATCTTATTGAAGTTTTCAGTAAAGTTTTTCCATATCCTAGTAATTTTTTGGTGGAATTTTTTAGTTTTCGGTGCACTTTTTCAAAAATCGATGAAAACTTAACCTGTGTTAATAAAGTAGAGAGAGAGATGAAAATAAAGGTGTTTTAAAAGAGACTGATTTTGACATTTTGAGTGAAAAAAAAAAAAAACTTGAGGGTTTTTATCCCTGCACAAAACGACGTCGTCTTATAGTTTCTAAAAACCCAAGATCCATGCACTTTACCATATTCCAACCTGACTCGCAACACTATTCAACCCTGACCGGTGTCTCTATTGGTCTGAGCTGAGCCACATCTTCAATTGATCCCCTTTAAGTTATGCCACAGCCATTCTCCCCTTTTGTGCATGAAGCCAAGCCACGCGCCCCAACCACTTTCGGGGCCGACTTTAGGTATATTTTATTTATTTAACTGTTTTACTTATTCATTATTTATCTATTCATCTATTTTTAAAAATATATATATATATGTATTTTCATTAAAAAATTTTAAAAAAAGCCTTACCAATAGATTGGAGGGCCAATGCTTTTCAAAAATAAGGTTTTACCAACATATTAGAAATCTTATAATTTTTTAAAAAATTCAATGTAAAAAGAATAAAATAATAAATAATATTTTTTCTCTTTGTGCATAAAATCATATCAACAGATTAGAGGATAATTTCAACAAAAAGTCTTACCAATAGATTAGAAGATATTTCTGACTATAAACTCAGTTTATAGATATTTATTTTCAGAAGTAAAATTAAATGAATCTAACGATAGAGCTTCTTCAAAACGTGATAAATAGTCCATTTGAATACTCATGAGATGAGAAAATATTCTTAAATTATTATCAATATATTAGAGTAATTTAAGAAAAATTTTTAATATTAAATCATTTGATAGATATTAAATATATTTTAAGGTGTGAATAACTTGAAATCAGACTGGTACCATCTTTTGGATAGGTGTTGTGAGGGTGTTATAACCTCATCATGCATAACCGTACTCGCAAACCTAAATTTTGATTTGTGAATTAGAATCTACTATTTAAAAATACTTAAGTTAATATTGAAACTCCTCTTTAGATTAGACAAATTCAATTTTTTAGTCAATCACACCTAAACAAAAAAATTTATGGCCACTCTTAAATCTATGTCTAGCGGTAAGTCTATGGATCTATACATTATGACTGTTTGACGATTTCACTAAGGACATTAAAAGTTAGGCCAGTAAATGATTTTCTGTCATCCAAGCCTAACCTAATAAATTAAAAAAAAAATTGTCTAGTTTGCATTTTATTTATTTATTATTTTGTTCATATATGTCATTTATTTGCACATGTATAACATACATTCTATACCCAAGTTATGTTTCTTATGAAGGAATAAAGTATCTATGCATTCGTGAGATTTCATATCTCTGAACGGGGCTAGCAAAACACTCCCATTTAAATTGAATCTTTTTCGCTTATAGCATATAATAGGTAAAGATTAAGGTCCCTTATTAGTCTGTGATGAACAATGATGTAACGAACTATTTGAAAATCTTTAAAAATAACTCAAACCACATATAGTTAATCTTATGAGCTTAACCCTTAAGTAGAGCCATGTTCTTCTAACCTTTTAAAGTTAACTCTGAATTAGTACCATGTTGGTTGTTGTATTTATTTAGTTAATATATTTTTTCTGTATATTGATTAACTAATTTCTTTGTTTTTTTTTTTTATCTTGCACATTCATAAAACATTCATACAGATTGCATAGCATATTTGCCTTAAGGATATTTTCAGCAAAAGATCTCATGGAATCCACTGAACGTCTAGTTTGCACCTTGTTATGTTCTCCGAGTGTGAGTCATCTAATTATGCTAATGTAGAGTCAGCAAAAAGACAACAAAAGAAGGTGATTGTTTACCACTAGACTATGTTTCCACCTTGCCTGAAAAAGTTCATTTACTTCTCAAACAAAATGATTTGAAGGTCTTATCAGATATATGAAGGAGTATGAGTTAGTCCAAACAGTTAGCTTTTTTATGAGAAATATGGTCATATTGCACATCTTCTTTTAGTGGTAGTTGAATAGTTATTCATCAGAGCCGTTGTGCAATTTTGGAATCTTTCATATATATGCTTCATTTTTAATGAATTGACATGACACTGACTATAAAAGAGTACTTTACATTGATAGGTTTTCATCTCTAATCACCAGATAAGATATATGTTAGGAGGTAAAAAATAGCATTTCGTAAAAAACTAGCAGATCTCATAAGAGTCAAAAAGGAATATGTAAATGTACAGGTTCAGGAAAGAAATGGTCATATTTGTTTGCCTTATGAGTTTTTTTGTGACTTTATCACAAAACATTTAAATGATGATTAGGGGCTAAGTTTATTTGTTTTGACTATATATGGCATGGTGGTATTTCGTAGGACCTTAGGTTATGTTGAAATAAAAGTGATTGATTTCTTCTAGAATGTGAAAAAAGGTTGCAATCCTTCTCTTGCAATTTTGGCTGAAACAATTAGATTTTTGAATCATTGTCGTCAAAAAGACAAAGGGCATTTCATAAGATGTCTGCCATTGTTAT